GAGTAAAGTGAAATAAAATAAAGTAAAGTAAAGTAAAGTAAAGTAAAGTAAAGTAAAGTAAAGTAAAGTAAAGTAAAGTAAAGTAAAGTAAAGTAAAGTAAAGTAAAGTAAAGTAAAGTAAAGTAAAGTAAAGTAAAGTAAAGTAAAGTAAAGTAAAGTAAAGTAAAGTAAAGTAAAGTAAAGTAAAGTAAAGTAAAGTAAAGTAAAGTAAAGTAAAGTAAAGTAAAGTAAAGTAAAGTAAAGTAAAGTAAAGTAAAGTAAAGTAAAGTAAAGTAAAGTAAAGTAAAGTAAAGTAAAGTAAAGTAAAGTAAAGTAAAGTAAAGTAAAGTAAAGTAAAGTAAAGTAAAGTAAAGTAAAGTAAAGTAAAGTAAAGTAAAGTAAAGTAAAGTAAAGTAAAGTAAAGTAAAGTAAAGTAAAGTAAAGTAAAGTAAAGTAAAGTAAAGTAAAGTAAAGTAAAGTAAAGTAAAGTAAAGTAAAGTAAAGTAAAGTAAAGTAAAGTAAAGTAAAGTAAAGTAAAGTAAAGTAAAGTAAATTAAAGTAAATCAAAGTAAAGTGAAATAAAGTAGAGTAAAGTAAAGTAAAGTGAAATAAAGTAGAGTAAAGTAAAGTAAACTAGAGTAAAAAAAAGTAAAGTGAAAAGGAAAGTAAAGTGAAATAAAATAGAGTGAAGTAAGGTAAAGCAGAGTAAAGTAAAGTAAAGTAAAGTAAAGTAAAGAAAAAGAAAGAAAAAAAAATAAGTCTTGGACACTAGCATATTACATGAAATCAATTCAAATCATCAATGGAAACTGGAGGCTGCTTTTGTCTTTCCTCCCCAACCCATTCATTTTCTTCTTCTTCTTCGTCCTCCTCCTCCTCCTCTTCCTCTTCTTCCACCACCTCCTCTTCTTCTTCCTCTTCCTCCTCATCCTCCTCCTCCTTAACAGCTTTGCTTATTGTCAACCCCTTAGATTTTAACCCCACTCTGCTCTGTTCATCCTCTTCCTCTTCATCTTCATCTTCATCTTCTTCCTCATCCTCATCTTCATCTTCATCCTCATCATCTTCAACCTTAATCTCCTCGGGTTTTATGGTATCTGTTGACTGACCAATGCTTTGCAGGAATGCTAGATCATCAAGAGGAGGCAATGCTGTGTGTCTGTAAGAAAGGAAAATATCAGATTAGACATCTTGCAAGAGTGCAAGGAGAAGAATGAGAGAAGAAAAAGGAAGAGGAGGAGGAAGAGAAAGAGGAGGAAGAGGTGGTGGAAGAGGAGGAGGGAGTGAGGAGGAGGAGGAGGAGGAGGAGGAGGAGGAGGAGGAGGAGGAGGAGGAGGAGGAGGAGGTAGGAAGAACGGAAAGCGGTAAGAGGAGGAGGAAGAAATGGAGGGAGAGGAGGTAGAAGAGAAGGAGAAGGAGGAGGAGGAAAAAGAGATTTAGGGTGGATGAGCAACAGGAAGAAGAATAGAAGAAGGTTTAGGCAGGAGGAGGAAGTGGAAGAAGAGGAGGAGGTGGGGGAAGAGAAAAGAGAAGGGGGAGGAGTAAAGAGAAAGGGGAGGAGAAAAAAAAAGAGGGTGAAAGGGAGGAGGAAGAGAATGTAGATATGGAAGAAAGCAGTAGGACTTTACCTGGAAAATATATGTCAGAAAAAAAAAATGCAAGGCCAGCATTTACAAAGAAAAGTATGTATACTAGATTTACGCCTAAGATTATTATTCGAAGTCCTGTGACTACCACTGTTGCCAGAACATTTCACTGACAGTACAGGAAATCTACATTACAAGGAAAGCACATTAAGTTTTAAAAAAATAAGTCTTGGACACTAGCATATTACATGAAATCAATATCAAATCAAAGCCACCAGAAAAATGAAGTGTTCACTGAAGTAATTTGTGAACTGTCAGATGGCTCCACAAGCAGTAAGTTAATTAGTAGACCTCATGACCTCACCTGAATTCACCATTCCTTGAGGTTTTGGGAAAAAGGGTTTTATTACTAATGCTATTAATATTGATTCTGTTATTATTACTAGAGACATTATAATTATTATAATATTATTGTCATAGTAATAACAATAGCAATATAAAATAAAAGACAATACTTCCAAAAAAAAAAGAACAGGGTAAACATGTGAGATAGTAAGCATTATCAATTGGCTCATTGGTGACTAAGTACTTGTGGAGCCATCTATATGTAAAGACAATTAATAAATTAAACTCACAGTGGGCATGGTATGTACTTACATACTATCACCAATAGATTAAGAGATACTATATCATGGTAGAATTCATTATTGTCCAAGTAAACAAATATTTACGGAGTTGCTATTAAAACAACAGCTGCTAATAGTTTGTTAGGTAATCTATGGGTTATATTTCAAGAAGATACTTTAGGCTTATCTACAGCATGGTACATATAAATCAAATTTTGTGACTAAGAATAATGAAATTACTTGGTGTCCACAAAGCCTAGTGAGATGGATGCCGCCAGATACCGCAGGATACCCGCAGACTGGTAGAGAGCAGAGACCCTCTTCAGATGGCGCTGCGTGTAGGGCAGGAGACCTTCAAGGCTGCTCTGCCAACTTTGCATTTCCTCTAGCTCTTCTGGTGTCTGGTTTTGCAGCACAATGTTCAAAATGTTCTGCAGAGAGATAGGTAGAGGTTTTGTGTAGAAGGTAATGAAACATAAAACTAGATGAAACACATAAAAAAAAAACATAAACATGAAAATTATACAATAAAACAAAACACATACATATCAATGAAAACTGTACCTGAGCTTCACGACAGCTTTTGGTTGTGCTATTCCATTTCACAGCATAGTCCAACAGAGCATCTCTTTGATCTCTCCTTAGAGTAACCACAACCTTGGGCAACTGATCTGGGCTCTCATCCAGAATTGCTCTCACCACCTGTTCAAGAAAAAGAAAGAAAAAAAAATATATATATATACATTACCCATTGTGGCTGAATCAGTAGTTTTGACATCAGCATTATGTACACATTCTACTTTGAGAGCTCAGTTTCACAAAATTTAAGCTTTCAGCTCACCTTCAAAGCATGCAGGGGACGTCCAAGTTTAATGGCAATCCCAAGTGCACGTGTCCACTTCTTGTCCTTTATTAAGTTTGCGAGTGTTTGCTCTCCTGATGCTTGCCTGGTTGACAACAGAACCAAAAGTAAAATAAGGCATCAAATATTATACAGTCACATTGTTTCTTCTTATTAGATATCTTCTGACCAATTTCGAATTCCATTCCAGTAAGTTTATTTCTTATCATTATTACTAACAGAGTATTAAAAAATTAACAAACCTTTCAGCTTCTTTCTGGGCAGTGTCCCTTTCTTCTTGTGTCACGTCTTTCCAACGCACAAGTTTGGCATCTTCTCCACCAGTGAACACCACTTGTGCATCTCCATCTGTGCCACCATCTGGTCCCACACCTGAGACGGCTAATGCCCATGTCCTGTCATCATGGCCATCAAATGTGGCCACACACAGCCGTGACCTGGCAGTCCAAAGCTTCAGGAGGCCATCAGATCCAGTAGAGAGTAACTGTTGTCCACTGCTGATCCAAGCTAACTTCAACACACTCACTCCATGGCCCTCCAATGTCTGGTTGTCAAGAAAGCATCAATATTAAATAATTACAAAAAATAGTGATCAAATCTAAAGAAACCAAACATATAAACTTCATAAAAAAAAGAAACAACTAAACATAAAACTTACAGCAACATTGTTGAAATCACTCAAGGTCCAAAGCTTAATGGTGGCATCTGCTGAGGCTGTGGCCAAAATTTCATCTGAAGGGGAAAATTCGCAACACCAGAGTCCTCTTCGATGGCCATGAAGAACACCCAAGAGCGAAAGGTTGTCACCACTCCAAACCTTTTTAAATTATTCATATTAGAAATTTATCACATAAATAAAGAGAAAAAATAAGGAGAAGGAGAAAGAAATGAAAAAAAAAACATTGGCAAAATGTCAGATTTACTTGCATGGACCGATATTGCCTCAGGGGCTCAATCTACCCACCCTGCCCCAGATCCTACTGGCAAGCCTAACCTATTTCTAAGTCAAATGATTTAACATGAATGAATAAACACAATGGGAAAGGTATCTTAGATAGCAAAGCATAACATCAAAAAAGACCAAATTCTTGACAAATAAATCTTACTTTGGCTGTCTTGTCTTGAGATGCTGACGCTATTAGTTTGCCATTGACAGACACACAAACATAGTTGATGTCCTTGTCATGGGCCTTTTCTGTGTTGCTACACACGAGGGAGGTCAAGCTCATGTCCTCCCCCTTTGAGAGGGCGTCTTCTACTGATTTTATTTTCCATCGTTTAAGACAGGTGTCTCTGCTTCCTGTCACCATGTAACCTGCAGAATACATCATGGAGGAGATGAGAAAAAGAGTGTATACACAGATTAAACTTAAATCAGGCTAGATGGAAGGTAGATAGAAGGTAGAAGATCAAAGTCTTGCACTAACAACTACTTTCCTCTACTTGAATATCTGTTTACGTAATGACCAATTCATACCAGGTGATTCCTTATCAGTAAAAATTTCATTGCCAATAGTGAATGGATTGATAGTCTTAATATCTTGTCAATTATATATGTACTATGCATAATCATTCTAGTATTTGATATTGCTGCACACAATCACACTTAGACTTCATTAATAAATATGTACAAATATTCACTTTAATAACTATACATTTCTTTTGACATACCTGATGCTAACGCTATACTCCCTACACCTGATGTATGGCCAACAGCTATGCCAATGCATTCTGCTGTTCCGTCCTCATCCCGTAGGTACCACAAACGCGCAGTTGTGTCTTGAGAACTGGTAAAATAGACAAATGCAAATATTCATGCTGTATTGTACAAAATAAAACCATAAGAGGATAAACCATATGTCACATATCACATGCACAACATCATGATATTTCTAGCAGCCTATCATAAATCATTCAGCTAATATATAGTTATGCAGTTAAAAGGACAACACTGTCTCCAGTGATGAATAACACTGCAATTTACTACAGTGAAAGCATAATACACTATACACCAACTGAAGACTTCAATTTCCATCACCTTTATCAAGAATGCACTAGCAGGAAAATGGAACACACCTTGTGGCAAATATATTACAGTGTGTAGAGTGCCGAGCCACAGCAAGAATCAGTGCTGTGTGACCCTGAAGAAGGTGGCAGCTGAGGTTAGCACTGTCATAGATCCGAAGCTGGGCACTGTTTGTGGCCACAGCCAAGTAGGAGTCTTTGGGCCCCACAAATACTGCATCAAGAATCTGTTCATTATACCCTGCAAGCTGAAGATAAAATATTAGTGTGAGTTACTTTAATAGCAAAAAGGAAGAAGTGTCATAAAAAATCATAATACTCTGAACAAAATTTCATAATAAATGCAGGGAAACTGACAGCAAAAAAAAATTACAGTCTATGTGATACACACAGCTGAAGCTGTCATTTGGTGAAACACTTGAAGTGAAATTTTGACAGACAGAACTAGTTATCTAATTACAATTACAGCATAATCTCAAAATATAGATTAATATGTAATTTTAGTATGTTTGTTATGTAAAGAAGTCAGAACCTAAAAATTGCAGGCCCTGTAGCTTGCTTATTTCTCCAGGTAAAAAATAAGGCCTATATTTTTAGTTTAGTTGCTGGCTTTTTATGAGCTTGATTTTACACATATCAAATACACAAGCACAAAGTTAAAAAGTTAATATTTGCATATGAATGAAACATTATGTAGAAAACCATGTGTAAAATTGCTAATGCTGCGTGTGACTGGCTAGGATTCATGGATCCTCCGTATGAGTATGAAACTGTATATAACTTAATTTTGACAAAGCCAACCCTAAACTAACTACCCCCATGTAACTTATGGATAGTCTCTTTAAGGCAACAGTAAGTAGCCAAGAATTTGCACTGGTGGCAAATAATATGATTTATCAAAAAATAAAAATTAAAGCAAAACTAATTCCAGTTCCTTCATAGTCTCAATACTGATATCAATGCAAAGTTGCTTACCTGTTTCCAGATATTGAGTGAAGAGGTCTTTGCAAGAGTAATAGAGTGGTCAAAAGTCGTCATGAGGACAGAGTCAAGTGCAGGCACATCAGTAAGCTGTTTGATGAGAGTGACCCCTCCCTCCTGATCCTCTGGAGGAGGCACCACAGGAGTTGAGGCCTTCCACACCTCACGTCCTGTGTCCACTTGCCACACTGCTGGCACACCTATAGAACATCATAAGGATAAGCAGGATAATGCAGAATATTGGGATACATTATATGATAAACTGCCATACAGGTATTTCATCATATCAATCTCCTACATACCTTTATCACCTACAACCATAGCATAGATATGATCATCATCTGTATTAGCACCAGGAAATGCTGTCCTCTCAGGATGCTGCAAGACTAACCCTGAGAGTGACTCAAATACTGGCACAACCTTCTTGCAAGACATAGTGATTAAGTCCCACAGAATGATGACTCTATCCAGACCCACACTGCAAGGAGAAACCCAGTTCAAATATACAGCCAAGCAGGACAGATATGAGAAAAAATACTGGAGACTATGAAAAGATGTTGAACTTGGTGTAGACCAATACCTCTGAGGGGTCATCCATTTTCTTCATCATTTTCATGAGCAAACAACCAGGGAGGGGGGTTAATCTTTAGCATACACTATTTAGAACATCATAAAAATGAATAACCGGATTAAATTTGATAATTTTTCACCTTCTTGCTCTGGAAAGAGACTACTTTTTGTATGTTTGTGAAAATAATAAAAAAAAAATGGATGACCCCCTAATACATTACCTAATTAAATATATTTGAACACTTTTGACATATACTACTTTTTAAGTATAATAAAGCAAAAACAACAAAAATCTTAAAATGCATAATCATGATTAAAAACATGACAGAAAATACACTTCTTATGATAATTTACAATACAAAACTAGTAAAGAAATAAAAAATTAGTGATATGTTTCATTTTTGGACAATACTACAAGAAACCAATAACAAATCATAATAAAATGCTTACCTGAGCATGTGTTTTTGATCATGTGTTAGGGAAAGATCTGTAACTGCTGCATGGTGCCCATTTAATGTGGCATGGAGTTCTGATGAGCCAGCAGCAAGGTTCCATAAATGGATGTTGGTGCCCGCGGAACCATATACTCGTGGTAGTTTCAGAAGATCAGGGTGGAACAAAACAACCCTGTAACACGTAGGAAGTTTCTTCTTTGAGAATTATCTCTATATTCATATGATACAGTTTCACAATATGTCTCTACTTGTTTTCTACTCATAAGCATTATAATTTTGGAGTGTGTACATACACTGTGCCCTTTGTTTTTCCATTATTTTGAGTCTGTTTACACAATGATGGCTGTAGAATGGCTTAGCCACCAAGGAGACTATTACTAGCCCTACCTGACCATACACATTTGCTCCAATCCTTGAACTTTCAGATAGAAGAGTTTTCATTTTCATTAGACTGTTCTCAGTATGTCAACAAAGATATAATAATAATAATAATAATAATAATAATAATAATAATAATAATAATAATAACAATAATAATAATAATAGTAATAGTAATAGTAATAATAATAATAATAATAATAATAAAAACAAAAACAATGAAAGTAATACTAGGCCTAATAGAAATAAAAACTTTTTCCTATAAATTCAAGAAATGGGGCAAATCGGGAGGATCAGGAAGGCCTACTTACTGACAACTTGATGACTAGACACTTGTGAGCCATCAATGTACAGTAAAACCTGAGAAAACCGGACCCTGAGAAAACCGGATCACTGTCCATTCCGGATGATATTCTGAGTCCCTTCCCATTTCAATAGGCAGCCTGTGTTAAAAGCCCACCCTCTCCAAACCGGATCACTGTCCAAACCGGACATTTTTTACAGTCCCATGGGTGTTCGGTTTTCTCAGGTTTTACTGTATAGACAAAATTAATAAAATAAAGCCACACTGAACAATGCATGGAGCCAGTGCCTATGGAGTTGTGCTTCGCATTAACCCATTCGCCCGGATTTATGTTCAGTCCCCTGTAGTTTTTGGTGAATTTTGTTACATACAGATGGCTCCACATGTGCTCAGCCGGCAAGGAGTCTATCAGTAAGCCCTAGTTACCAATCCTAATTTTCCCATTCCTTGAATTGGCGGGAAAATGTCTTTTTCTTATTAATACCATTGCTATCGATGTTATGATATTATGATTATTAAATTGTCATTAAAATATTTTAGACAATGAAATGATACAAAAGACCCTTTCCTAAAGTGAAGGAAAAGGGTAAACAGGTGAGCTAGGTAGTTCTGATAAACTGGCTATTTGGTGATTAAGAACTTGTAGAACATGTATTCTTGCCACATGGGACGAACAGGTTAAAGAAGTTAAAAATACTATTCAATCAATAAGAACAAAAGAAAATGATCAACCTTACCCAAAAACTCCCGAAGCCCCTTTGAGGCTGTGAGTGCAAAATTTCTGCTCTAGGTCCCAAATCCTTGCAGATGAATCTGCTGCTCCTGTCACAAGCAAGGTTGAGGAAGCATCCCAGGCCATGGTGGTGACAGGACCACGGTGGTAGGATCTGAAGCTCCGAACTAGCTCTAAACCTAAGGTCACCACAGTGAAGTTGTGGGGAAGAGGGGATAAGGGATAGAATGAATAGTTTATGTTACTTATCCTTGTGTACATGGAAAAATATCAATACATATACATACACATATATTTTACTACATACAATTGAGCCTATATATAGATATATAAATATTTCTCAACTCATATAGACTACATGGAATTATGCAAAGACTTATGCAACATACTTGGCCATTGGTACTGTTGCACTGATGTAGACTTGAGAGCTACTGCTACAGTTTTATTGTTTGGGGAAAGGCTGAGGCAGACAACTTCATCTTCTTCACAGGTAATTCGGCCTGTCACCTGACCTGTTTCCAATGACACAATGCCCACACTGTCTCTGCACTCACATAAAACTGCTGAGCCATCATTTGTCACCTGCAAGTCAAGAAAATTAATACATTCAGGAAAAGTAACAATCTATTTGACAGATATCCTAACAAAGAAATTTTCAGAGCTTCCTCAATAATAAAAGCCTACAGTGGATAGGCTTTTGTTAAAATCTTACATGCTGCATCAAGTTTAAGGAATAGCTAAACATGAAATGATTATTTTTCCCTATTTCTCTTCCTCAAATGGGTAATGTGATTCCATCATATATCACAACTAAAACAGTATTGTATCAATGGCTATTCTTAAATTCATTACAAGAATATCGGTTAATATCACTAGTAGCTAATTCTAATATCATTCTTTCTTCATAAGCAAATTTGATATGTCAGACACTTGTGTTACAAATAACTGAGAAAGTAAAGTACATTTAATAAGTTCAATATGGATCTCACTCATAAAACTAATGCATATTTATGTATACAAAAATTTAGTAAACTTTAACAAATTTATAACTCCATACCTCAACTCGCTGGCCAGTGAAGTAAGCTTCAAACTTCGCATCAGATTCATAGCTGAAATAGTGTAAATGATATGTACATTCTAAATTTTGCCACCTTTTTTAGGTTGTTGTTACCAAACACTTATGAATATCTTTGATCATATTAATTACTCAAGAGGGATACAGCAACAAACTACTTTTCATCTGACATATTTAACCCCTAAAAGGTTGGCATCCTATCAGAGCATGCAAATCAAGTAACAATGTGTGACTAGCACACATGCAGAAATAGCAGACTTAGTAAGTGCTATTACTGTAATTGCAACTTAACATAAGACTTACTGACATTATCATATCAACAATATAACTTTTCATATAATTCTCTAATCCTTTACACAAGTTTATATATAAATAGGGTACAAGCTCAAAAGAAGACAGCATAAAGCAACACCCTAGCTTCTGCCC